ATATCTCAAACTGTTTCCACACTGAGCACATATGAATGGTCTCTCTCCAGTGTGAATTCTCATGTGGACTTTAAGGTTTTTTTTCTGTGTAAAATACTTTCCACACTGAATACATGTGTATGGTCTCTCTCCAGTGTGAATTCTCATGTGAGTCTTAAGGTCTCCATTTCGTATGAAACTCTTCCCACACAGCTTGCAGGTGTACGGTCTCTCTCCAGTATGAGTTCTCGTGTGGATATTAAGGTGACTTTCCCGTGTAAAACTCTTTCCACACTGAGAGCATATGAACTGTTTCTTTTCAATGTGAATTTTCATGTGGACTTTAAGGCTTTCGTTTTGATTAAAAATTTCTCCACACTGTTGACAGGTGAAAGGTTTCTCTCCAGTATGAACTCTCATGTGACTCTTAAGACCTCCACTTTGTATGAAACCCTTCCCACACAGTTTGCAGGTGTACGGTCTCTCTCCAGTATGAGTTCTCATGTGGATATTAAGGTGACCTTCCCGTGTAAAAATCTTTCCACACTGAGAGCATATGAACTGTTTCTTTTCAATGTGAATTTTCATGTGGACTTTAAGGCTTTCTTTTCTATTGAAAATTTCTCCACACTGTTGGCAAGTGAAAGGTCTCTCTCCAGTGTGAATTCTCATCTGGGAATTGAGGGTTGTACTTTGAGATTTTTTTGGTTTTGAATTCTTTTCATTCTGTGAGCAACCAATCGATTTTTCTCCAGGTTTGAAATCATGCTGTTTCTCATTTTGATCTTTCTCTTTGGTTTCATTCAGTTCTTGACTCTCCTCTTTCAGCTCCATCAGGCCTGAGAGGAAAAGAGACAAAAACAAGTTTAATGGCCCAAAGCAACAGACATCCATTTGACAGTAGTGCTGTTAATCGATTACAAAAAATTAATTGCACATTGCATATTTATATAATATATTAATATTGTTATAATTTCACATTGAATCTCCAAATAATGTAGAAATAACATAACGATTGTGTATGTCATAATTTCACATTGAATCTCCAAATAATGTAGAAATACATTGTTTGACTGGGGAGGGAGGTGTTGTAATAATGTAAAATATGTGAAAAATAATGTGTTTTTTGAACAACCTAGTATGAGAGCCTGTTCTAGTACACCCCCAAAACAAAATCAAGACTTTGTAAAAGAGCATAATAGGACCCCCTTAACTCGTGCATTATATTGACATTTCACATAGGAGTATGTTTTAGACTCGCACATATAAAAATATCCATTCATGCATGCACAGTTTTTGCTCTCTCTTTTCCTGTACCTCCACTGAAAAAAATTATTTAATTTTCTACATTTTTTAAGGTATGTGGTTGCAATCAATTGATTTTAGCTGCATTTAAATAAACATATTAAGTTCATGGAAGACTGGAGAAAGAGGAAGGAAGGAATGTACAAAGTAAATTACACACATCCATACCCAAAGTACACATTTTGAAAACTTATAGTACTGATATATAGTACTGAGACTGCTCTCATCAGAGTTACAAATGACCTGCTCTTATCATCCGATCGTGGTTGTATTTCTCTATTAGTGCTACTGGATCTTAGCGCTGCGTTTGACACTATCGACCACAACGTCCTTTTGAGTAGACTACAAAATTATGTTGGCATTAGTGGAATCGCATTGTCATGGTTCAAATCTTACTTATCTGACCGTCATCAATTCATAGCAGTAAATGACGAGATATCATATCGATCACAAATACAGTATGGAGTACCTCAAGGCTCAGTACTACGACTGTTGCTTTTCACACTTTACATGTTACCCTTGGGAGATATCATCTGGAAACATGGTGTTAGCTTTCCTTTGAAAGCCACGTTTCTTTTTAATTCATGCATTCATGACCTCAAGTTTGGATTATTGTAATGCTTTACTGGGTGGTTGCTCTGCGCATTTAATAAACAAATTACAGCTGGTCCAATGCAGCAGCTAGAGTTCTTAATAGAACTAGGAAGTATGACCATATTAGCCTGGTTCTGTCAACACTACACTGGCTCTTTATTAAACATCGTATATATTTAAAAAATCTTGCTAATTACGTATTAAGCCCTGAATGGTTTACCTCCTCAGTACTTGAGCAAGCTCTTATCGCATTAAAGTCCTTCACGTTCGCTGCGATCTTAAAACTCTGGCCATTTTATAATACCTAGAATATCAAAATCAACTGCGGGTAGTAATTTCCTACTGCTAAATTCTGAAAAAACAGTGTTTTAGGTTATTAAAGGCGGAGGTTTTAGGTCCAATAATTAAAACCTCTGTCTAACACTTGATGGCTGCTCTGTTAATTCCTCGTCATCAGTTAGGAACCTAGGTGTGCTATTTGATAGTAATCTTTCCTTTGAAAACCATGTTTCTAGCATTTGTAAAACTGCATTTTTCCATCTTAAAATATATCTAAACTACGACCTACAGTATGCTCTCAATGTCAAATTAACAAAAACGTTAATTCATGCATTCATGACCTCAAGGTTAGATTATTGTAATGCTTTATTGGGTGGTTGCTCTGCGCGCTTAATAAACAAACTCCAGCTGGTCCAAAATGCAGCAGCTAAGTTCTTACTAGAACCAGGAAGTATGACCATATTAGCACGGTTCGGTCAACTCTGCACTGACTCCCTATTGAACAATGAAAACATTTTAAAATCTTGCTAATTACTTATAAAGCCCTGAATGGTATTGAAGCTTTTTTAAATTTTCTTCTACCTGGAAACAGTCATGTTTACAAGATACTAGTACAGTGAGCGCTTTTGAGAATTAAAAAAAAGTACTAAAGTTGATTATTCACATTTCATGGCTTACTTTATATTAAAACAAATTGATACTGTTGCATAATTAAGTGATAGAAATAACATTTTTGGGGTTTAATATTATACAAATCAAATGTTAAATTACTAAACTCACATGATATTCTTAATAAATATCATTCATTTCTGTAGATCTGGACATTTTAATAAACCAACCTGTTTGTTCCTCAGTTTCTTCATGTTTGACTCTGAATGTGCACCAAAAATAACCTTATATAATTCCTGCACTACATGGTTGAGTACATAGCGTATGAGTGCATCATTTGGGATGCAGCACCTGTGTTTTACATGTGGGCGTTGCAGAAGATCACGTGTTCAGG